TCCCAGCCCCCTTGTTGGCTTTTGTGGTTATAAACATAGCCTTGCATGATGGTGAGCCAGATGTCCAGACTTTCCTGCCCAGGCTGGCTTTGAACCACGATCCTCAGATCTCAGCCTCCTGAGTAGCTAGGATGACAGGCATGAGCCACCAGCACCTGGCTAAATGGGAACTATTTCTAAGAATAGTCTGTGTTACCCAAATAAGCAAGAGTGCAGACCTTGAGTAGGCCCTTATTTCTCCTGAACCTTGCAGCCTTAACCCAAGGAACCTGACAGCCTTTAGCAAGCTGCCCTGGCAGGCGAGCTATGGTAGCATACTGACTGATGTTGGAAGCTTCGCGGTATAGTAAAGATTTCTGAAAGGCCAGGGGAATTGTGGGATGGGAGCCAGAGAACCACGTGTGAGTGTTAGCCAGTGTCAATGAGGAAGCCATTGCCCAGACCAAGTAAGCTCTCTTCTTGTTGGCTTTTTTTTTTTTTTTTGGTCCGGTCATGGGGCCTGAACTCTGGGCCTGGGCGCTGTCCCTCAGCTCTTCAGCTCAAGGATAGTGCTCTACCACTTGAGCCACAGTGCCATTTCCGGCTTTTTTCTTTTTGTTTATGTGGTGCTGAGGAATAGAACCCAGGGCCTCAGGCATACAAGGCAAGCGCTCTACCACTGAGCCACCTTCCCAGCCCCCTTGTTGGCTTTTGTGGTTATAAACATAGCCTTGCATGATGGTGAGCCAGATGTCATGGAGCAAGAAGGCAACATTAAAGTCTCAAACAAGATGACCCTTGATCAGCAAGAATTGTCTTCTTCAGGTCCAAATCTAAGATGAGGAAATTTAATTCCTCACACTGAGCTCACTTGCTTTTCTTTCTTTTTTTTTAAATTTTTCCTTCATTTATTTTTTGAAATGTTTAACTGACTGATTATACAGAGGCATTTTTTTGGGGGGGGGTCCGGTCATGGGGCCTGAACTCTGGGCCTGGGCCCTGTCCCTCAACTCTTCAGCTCAAGGCTAGCATTCTATCACTTGAGCCACAGCACCACTTCCAGCTTTTTTCTTTTTTGCTTATGTGTTGCTGAGGAATTGAACCCAGGGCCTCATGCATGCAAGGCAAGCGCTCTACCACTGAGCCACCTTCCCAGCCCTCACTTGCTTTTCATGAGGATGTTCTTGTCTGTTTAGTCAAAGTTGGCTTCTTGTTGTTGTTATTGTTCTTTTGTTTTGCAGAGCTGAGGCCTGAACTCAGGGCCTTGTGCTTGCCAGGCAAGTGCTCTTCCACTGAGCTAAATCCCAATCCCCACAGTTGGCATTTTTTACCAAGTATTTTTACTGCTAGACAAGTTTCTTGTGAGTCTCAAAGTATAACTGGAAGTCTCACGGCAGTGTTAAAGATTTGGTCACCCCCGCCACGCCTCCCCCCCCCCCGCGTCCCCCCCCCCCCCCGGTTAAACCCCTACTGCTTTGTCCTCCCAACCCTGCTCAGCTTCCTCGCCTTGGTACACTGAGTGGGAAGCATTGCAAAGATGACTTATTTGGACTTTCTCCTACGGGAGTTAGGGGCATATGAGGAAGTTTCATTTTTAATTTGCAGTGCTTTGCTGGTCTGTCCTTAGAGGAAGAATTTCAAAGGCATCGCAATATTAAAGTAAAATTTGAATTTCTGCTATGAGGTCTCTAATCACTACTTCCTGATTTTGATTACTTGTTGTTAAACTCTCTCTCTTTTTTTAAAAATATAATTAGTGGCAGAGAAGATTAGAAAGAGGCTTTTATTTGGTTTTGATTGTTTAACCACAGTGTCAGCGAGCCCCCAAAATGAGCCAAGCCTTAGTTATGTTTATAATTTGTTCTTAAAAATAGACTTTGTTCTAGAACACAACACTGGAACTCCTGGATCAAGTTGTTGGAACTCCTGGATCTTTATGCTTACTTCTTAGAGTTAGCTTGTTTTATCTTTCTCATCAAAACAGTTTTGTTCTACCAGGAATAGTATATGCCTACCAAGGCCATCCCAAGAATCCACTGAATATAGTTCAGACAGTATGTAATTACATGTTATATACCATACCATCCTGGTTTTCAGACAAATCTATACCTCATCATGTTAATTATAAATACAAGAGCTCATGGTGTGCACTTGGGGAGCTGAGGCAGGAGAATGGAGAATCAAAGCCAGCCTGGGCTATGTACCGAGACCTTGTCTCAAAATAAAAGCAATTATTATTGCTGAGCATCAATGGCTCACACCTGCAATCCTAGCTATTCAGAAGGCTGAATTCTGAGGATTGTCATTCAAAGCCAGCCTGGGCAGAAAAGTCTGTGAGTTGGCTTTTTTTTTTTTTTCTGCCTGTCTCTCCAGCTTTTTCTGAGTGGTTTATTGGAAATAAGAGTCTCACAGACTTTCCTGCCCAGGCTGGCTTTGAATTGTGATTCTCAGATCTCAGCCTTCTGAATAGCTAGGATTATAGGCGGGAGCCACTAGCACCCAGGCTTGCTGGCAACTTTTATCCTTATGCAAAAACAGATTGTCTGGCCTACATTTAGAACCTGCTAAGAAGCTTTCTATCCACTGTGTCATGTAATTCTCTGATGACTGAAGAAGACAGTATGAACTATATTTTAAAATGAGGAATTTAAAACTCAGAAAAGGTGACCTGTTATAAATGGCAGAATTAGAGTTCCAGCAATGTAAATCCAAGTCTCTTGACTCCACAGAGAGACACAAGAGCACTCCAGATACTGTGGGGACCCCACCCTCCAGATTCACTGTGATTTACAGTGGGGGGGCCCCCTGCCCATTGTGAGGCACTTTTCCCATAGTAAGAGAGGCTCCCAGGGCTGGGAGGATGGCTCAGTGGTAGAATGCTTGCCTTGCATGCATGAGGCCTGGGTTTGATTTCTCAGCACCACATACGCAGAAAAAAACCAAAGTGGTACTGTGGCTCAAGTGGTAGAGTGCTAGCCTTGAGCTGAAGAGCTGAGGGACAGAGCCCAGGCCCAGAGTTCAGGCCCCATGACTGACCAAATAAAAAAGACAGGCTCCCCTTCCCTTCCCCTTCCTGTTCTCAGGGATGCAGGAGGCGGCCAGGAGGTAACAGATGGAAAGCCTGAATGTGCTTTGTAAACACAAACTATTAGATTATTACTTTCACAAATGTTAACTTCTTTAGTTCATCAGAGTTCTGGGCAGGTCCTTCTCAGTGGAATTTTTAAAAAATTAATAACATTTGTCACAGTATTACCACATTGAACCTGAATCCTGGCATTTCCCCCAAAACCACTAAAAATTAGTTCTATTCAAGAAGACAGTTTGTCCCCATGGCAGTGAGTGGACAGTAGTACTCATGGCAAACTAGATTCTTGCTTATTAAATCAGTCTAGATTCCCAAGTTGGTATGTCACATTTTTTATGTAGCCCTACCAATAAACAAATCTAATCATTGTGATCCTGTGACCCTCCTCCTTCTCTGTCCTTCCACAACTCAAGCTGTGTTTAGTTCCTATTAGAACAAGGGTCTAAGTCCCACAGCCTTCCTGTTTCATGACTTCTTTCTAGCCTCTCCGACTAAACAACGCCAGGGGCCAGGCCTTCCAGGGGCAGTGGCCAGCAGCCCTCATATGGTGCCTGTCTTCTAGCCCCCTGGGCCCCACCAGCTTGCAGATGACACTGTGCACTTTCACAATAGGGCCAGCCCAAGGGACTCTCTATAAGAGTTCCTTTACGCCTTCCTCAGACCAACTGGAGGTCCCTGAAGAGGGACCAAGGAGGCTTCTGAATTGGAAGTGTGCTTTGTAATCATGAGGCATGAGATTATTATTTCACCAAAGTTTTGATCCTGGGAGGGGGACAGTCAGCATGGCTGCGGTCTTGGCTCCAGGGTTATGGCTTGTTTCATCGGCATGCATGGCTAGCCTCAGTGACACCTGTGTGGGCATAAATGCTTTTTGTAAAAAAAAAAAAAAAAAATTTAATACCAGTACCAGCAGTTGAACTCAGTCTCGGTGCTTTCAGCTTTAGTCTACCTCTCGAGCCACAGCTCCAGTCCTCTTTTGTAAGCTTAGAATCCAACCATTTTGATTAATTTTGTTTATTCCTATTACTGAAAACAACTGATGAGAACTAAAGTTTAAGCGTTCAGATGGATCCATAGGGTCATGCACGACAACATAGAGAATCTGGGATCCAAGCTTTCTGATTTAAAAAAAAAAATGGGCATGTGGGGTATGGCTCAATGGTACAGCGTTTATCTGGCTCTTAAAAGGCTCTGGATTTCAGCCCCAGCACCAAAAGAAAAAAGAAGAGAGGGAAAGAAGGAAAGAAAAGAGAGGAAAGTGAAGAAAAGGGAGGGGAAAGCAGAAGAAGAGAGTGAAGGAAGGAAAGGGGAAAGGAAAGATGTGTTGTCTGATTAAGAACATCTGAGAGAAAGCAATGCTGAGTGAGGGACAGGCCCAGAGCATCAAATAGTAGCATTCTTTTTGCTACTCTGAAATCAGGAATGGGCAATCAAAAGTCTTTGATCAAACCTATAATCCTGGCTAATTGGGAGGTGGAAGGTAAGAGATCATGATTCAAGGCCAGCTCAGGCAAAAAGTTTTGGAGACTATCTCAGCCAATCACCAGGCACAGTAGCACACCCATCTCTTTTACACCCAGCAACACCTGGAAGCACAGGTTCAGAGGATTGCAGCCTATGCTAGCCCAATATAAAGGGAGACCTGAGCTCAAAAATAACCAACAGGAAAAGGGGCAAGAGATGTAGCTCAAGTGGTAGCATGCCTGCTTAGCAAACTAGAGGCCTTGAGTGCAATCTCCTGTGCTGCCCCAAAATATTCTCAGATGAAACCATGCAGAGTGAGCTTAGTGGGCAGTAACATATGATCACTGCTCACCTTGCATCTGTAAAACCTTGTCCCCAGCCTGCTGGGGAGCCATCAACCCCATGTCCCCACACCTTCCACCCTGTCTAGTCTTGCTAGTGTAACCACCTCTTCCTTTTGTTTCCTCAGCATTAATAATAAGCTGCAGCAGCCCGAGGCAGCAGCCGGGGTGTTAGACTATGCCATGAAACACTTTGGAGAGCTGGTAAGTGCCTCATTCCTTTTGGGAAATCAAGAGGTAGAGACATGGCTAAGCAGCCACTCATCTGCCCCTTAAGAAAACTAGTTGGCAATTCGATTGTTTTCCCCTTTTTGTAACAGTCTAACTCAGGCTTAAGGGTAAAAGAGACAACAGCTGTCAGGACTACATCCTTACTGAGCATCATCAGAACACCGTGAATAGCTCTAACACGTGCCTCGCCCTCTGCTCAGTGCTCCCTGTACCTTCTCTAATTCAGTCCTCACCAGGACACTCTGAAGGACCTACCATTGTTAAACCATTTGGCAGATGAGGAATCTGTGCACCCAACAGGTTCAAGACCTGTCTGACCTAACAGAACAAATAAATAGAAGAAACAGAACTTGAACCAGGCTGGATTGGTGCCAGAGCTGGTATTTAACCTGAGCAAAGTTGTCCTTGTAAGCTGTGGCTGATTGCATTGTGTCTGGACCACAGTGAAAACTGCAGAAGAATCTGTAGCCAATTCTCCCAGAAAGAAAAAAAAATGCATTTTCTAATTAGACCTGATATTAAGGCACTTTCTGTTCCATTATTGCTTAGATAGCTGCTGCTTCATTGCCAATATTAAAACATTCCCCTTACTCCTTGGGGTTTTGAGAGGGTATTTTGATAATCCCAGAATTATGAAGCACTAACTTAATCAATTTAGCCTTGAATTCCTTAAAGACCAAGAAACTCTGAGGCCATATGTTTGATGAGGAGCCTTTTATTAATCGTGTGGATTACTTACATTGGTTTGCCTTAATCAAGAGCCAAGGGGTGAGAATGCAGAAAATTATGAATTCTTCAAAGGTTTGGTTTTTTTTTATTAGATTGCCTAGGATTTTGTCTTGTACTGTGCTAGTAATTTGGACTGAAACTTTTAAGGTAATCCTTGAGCACATATTATTTGTCACTAGACTAACACAGTATCTTCGCAGATGACAAAATGGAAGGAAAAATGTTCCATCTATCTTTGCCATAGTACTTGTTCCCAGAGGGCAGAAAGTACCCTCAGAAGTAGTGTATACCATACTCCATCCGGGCCAGCCTGTACTCAGCTGTCATGTCCCCAGAGCTTAGACCCCAGTACGTGCTAATGGAAATACGGGCTACAGCACATGCTGGGCCGTAGGTGCTCTGCCAACAGAATGCCTATAGTCCAGTGCTCAGAATGCCAGCCATAAAGGAAAGTGTCTCCATCTCGAGTTCTAAGGTGGCCATTAGCCCTGGGATTATTGCTAAACTGTGGTGAATTTTCTGTTCTATTTAGGTAGCTGAATCATATTAAGCTTGACAATGGTTGGCTTTTTCTTGGCAGAGCCTGTGCTTTCTCAGCACAATTTATGCAACAGGAATCTCATTAGAATTTTATGTGATTCATTGCCTAAACCTTATAGTTTTCTGCAATCCATTGCAATTCACAATCTCCTGCCCCCTGCTTGACCTGTTCCATATGCTGCTCCCGCTACTTTCTGATGGTTCACGGAGTGTGTGCCACGCATTAGTCACCTGCTCCTTGTGCAGAAATCTAACCTGGGAAATTTACCCGGGCTCCATTTTAGCTAAGATTTTACACTTTCTCTGTCAGTCACTCTTCTGTCCCTAAGTTCTGTCTTACATTTAGCCGAGGAGAGAGGCATTAGTCTAGGCAGGCGAAGGAGGTGGATCTTAGATAGTTTATCTTGCACAGAGCCATTATAGAAATGCATGTCAAGACTAGTATTGGAGAAAGGCAGTCGGAAGCAGGGACAGCAGAGGGCATTGGCACTGCCAGTCCTCACTAGGAGGACGTATAGGTAGCAATATGTAGTAGAAATGACCTTCCTTCCCCAGATCAGGCAGCTCAGCAGAGTGGTCATTAGTGTACAGACCACATGGACATCAATTTTATTTAGAAAGAGGAAGGTAATGGGAGAAACTAATATGGGCCCTGCATTCTGTCTTGCACATTCATGTCATTGTTAAAGAACACCCTGGAGAGCCACTACCCTGGTCTAGTGGAGAAATAATCAATTACTGAGCTGATTAAGGCCAGAAGACAAACTGAGGTGGAAGGCAGAAGGCAGGCATGGAAAACACATGGAACGGAGTCCCAGTCGAACGCTTGAAGCCCGTAGAGTGTCTTGCTCAAGTGCACAATCCCGTCGGCGTGGCACTCCGTCTGCCAGGGCAGTGGAATCCTGCCTTTGGCCCTGACGCTGGAAGGGTAGCCAAGCACCACACACTGGACGGGAGACTTGCTGGGGGAGGGGAAGGTTGCCCAAAGAATTTTAAAAGTGGTAGAATTCTATTGTATTTTAAGTTATTTCCTGAACGCTTAAAAAAAATGCATGAAGAATTCAGAGAATCAGGAACTTTTAACAGTGAGTTGTTTGAGAAGTGCAGATGTGTCTGTCATGTGTGCTGACCTTCCTGGCCTCAGGAAAGCGGCTGCCATCTCTGCCAGGCAGCCCGACATTCCCACCTTTACAGGAGCTCAGGTTGAAGCCCACTGTCCCTGTCCTCCTGGGGTTCCAGTGACCCCTAGTCAGGACAGGAAGTGGGGCTGGGGGTGGAGCGTGGCCTGACACGTGCTCTGAGTTTAATCTGAGGATCTGAACTAGCCTTTCCACCTCCACGCAGCAGCCCACCTCCAGATACCCAGAAATGTTCCTCAGATCAAGCCCAGACCTACCGTGATGGCCACGTGTCGTGTGCACCACAGACCACCCGAGGAAAGAAGCTGTGCGCATGGCCTCTTGTTCTCTGTGATTCACGGGCATCTTCCTTTCCAATTTGCAGGAGATCCAGGCTACCTGGTATGAGAAACTGCATGAGTGGGAGGACGCACTCGTGGCCTATGATAAGAAGATGGACACCAACAAGGATGACCCGGAGCTGATGCTGGGCCGTATGCGCTGCCTTGAGGCCTTGGGGGAATGGTGAGCCATGTCCACCATGGCCATGGTGGCCACGGGAGACTTGGTTTTGTTTGTTTTGGGGGGGGGTTGATACTGGGGTTTGAACTCAGGGCCATGTACAAGCTTATCTTGCTCGGCTAGCACTCCACCACTTGAGTTACGCCTCTAACTCTACTTTTTGCCAGTTATTTGGAAGGCAGTGACTTTCCTGTCCCAGCTGGCTTTAAAATTCTCCCTTCCAGATCTCAGCCTCCTGAATAGCTAGCTGGGCTTACAAGTGTGAGCCACTACTCTTGGCTGAGAGACTTATGAGTCTTGCTCAGTCAGTTCTCTCTTCAGGTTATTGCCTTTATTCACTTGATATTTGTCTAGGAATCATCTGTCACTGTAGTCTTTTGAATATCTATTCTGTTTCAGCTGCCAAATAGAAAAGCAGAATGATTTCTCCGAACTGGCATTTGAACTCAGGGCCTCTAACTTGCTTTACCACTTGAGCCATGACCTTCCCCCCCACCCCCCAACAGGATTAGCTGTGGGTGTACTCCTTGTTGCTGCAACTACTTTACTGCTTTCAGACCTTGTCTGAACTAAACTAGTGAAGATCTCATGTTCTTTATCTACAGTCTTGGTTTTTCTTTTTCTTTTCTTTCTGTTTTTGTTTTTGGTTGGTTGTGGGTCTTGAACTCTGAGCCTGGGCACTGTCCCTCAGCTCTTCAGCTTAAGCCCTCTACCACTTGAGCCTCAGCACCACTGCTAGTTTTCTGGTGGTTTATTGGAAAGAAGAGTCTCATGGACTTTCCTGCCTCTGGGCTGGCTTTTGGTTTTTCTTTTTCTTAGGTCCTGGGGCTTGAACTCACGTGTGCAATGTCCCTGGACTAATTTGCTCAAGGCTCCACCACTTTGAGCCACAGCGCCCCTTCTGGTTTTCTGGTAGTTAATTGGAAATGAGAGTGTCACAGACTTTTCTGCCTGGGTTGGCTTTGAACCACAATCTTCAGATCTCAGACTCCTGAGTTGTTAGGATTACAGGCATAAACCCTGCTTTTCTTCTTGTTATAATGAGCTCTTGCTAATAACACTTTTAGAAACAGGAATAGACTGTCCTCTGTGAGCACTTTGCCTTTATAGGCTATTGCTTACTTCATGTATAGCGCTATGCCAGGATAAAGGATATCAAGAGAGAGAAAATCTAGTCTCTTCTGTGAAGGTGATGAGCCAAGTTACTAAAGCTAAGAAGTTATCTTGCTACACCTACTTTACATGTACTTTTTTGGAAAAATAATCATTTTTATTCCTCAATCTAAAGGTTTTTTGTTTTTGTTGTTGTTTTTCAGTCCTGGGGCTTGAACTCAGGGACTGGGCACTGTCTCTGAGCTTCTTTTGCTCAAGACTAGCACTCTACACTTGAGCACAGCGCCACTTCTGGCTTTTTCTATTTATGTGGTACTGAGGAATGGAACCTAGGGTTTCATGCATGCTAGGCAAGCCCTCTACCACTAAGCCACATTTGCAGCCCCAATATAAAGTCTTTAATATGCCAGACAACCATGGTTCATGCCTAGAGTTCACTGAGAGCTGAGATAATGGCTGAGAGCACCAGCCTGAGGCAGATAAATCCACAAGACTGTTATCTCCAATTAACCAAAAAAAAAAAAGCTGGAAGTGGGAGGTATGACTTCAGTGTTAGAGCGCTACAGACAGTGAGAACACAAGGCTGGGTTCAAACCCAGTCACACACACTCACACTCACATACACATACATACACACTCACACACACACACAGAATTTTTACTGAATCCCAACAGAAGATATTGGGGTGTTTGTATGACTTTCCTGCCTGCCCCCAGAACCAGAGCTTTAACTCATGGCTTTATGCTCACTTGGCTTTCTTGTTCATTGTTGGTTTTCTACCACTTGAGCCTTGCCCCCAGCACCTGTATGAAAATTTAATATCAGAGAATTCAGCTGTAGGCATTGGATCATTCAAAGATAGAAAGAGAGATGTGTAAAATTTTCTAGGCTAAGCATTATTAGGCAGATTCAAAGTGTTGTAGACTTACTTGCATAAACATTTCATAATTCATTCCTATCCAGTCTGTTTCCTGAGTTTATACACAAAAGCTGTTTTAAGTCTGCCGGGTATCGTAAACAGTCCTAACTAGCACATGGAGCTATTTAAATACAATTTAAAATGCATTTCTCAGTCACACTTAGGATCATGAGATGGCTGCTGCCCTGGACAGTGCGCGCTGACCATCTCCTCCCCAAACTCTGCTACACAGCGCCACTGGAGGCAAAAGACAGTGTGTTTAGAGTTAACCATGTTATTTCAAACACAGTTTTTTCTCCTTTCAAATCTGCTTTCCTTTAGCCATGTCTTCTTCAAAGAAAGATGGGACAAGATAAAAGTTGTTAGAATTTTGTTAGAATTTAGCTCTAACCAATTCCTGAAATGTTTAAGTGTTTCCCTGTGGCTGTTTGGTGTCCATATGAATATCACAGCCTGGCTTTCAAAGTCTCGCTTTTTGGTTGTTTTGGTTTGGGGTTTGGTTTTTGAGGCAGTGTCTTATTATATACTCCTTCTGCCTTCAGCTCTCAATCTTCCTGCTTCAGCCTCCTGAGTGCTAGGATTACAGGCCCAGCTTCAAAGCCTTTGTCTTTTTTATTGTGGCTTCAACCCAATTCTCTATTCCATTTCTGTATGGACTCTCAGATCTGACTTCTGGCCAAATTATTTGCTCTTCTCCAAACCCTGCATTTATTTGTCTAGTTCCTGGCACCACTGTCCTCCTCTGCTCCTTTTCTACTTTTTGAAAACCTCCCTACCCTACTTCCTTCTCAAAGTATTTTTTGGCCTTTCCCTTCCAAATACCCTTTCTTTCCAACTTAGAAATGATGCCCTCGCTGGCTAGGATCTCTCGCTGCATTGGAAGCGAGCTGAGATGTGATTACTGGAGGTGGGATTTCATCCAGTCCCCTCATCGTACTTGAGGAGACAGTATCTCAGAGATGACACAGTGGCCTGAGGTCTCCCAACACTGCACTTCTCAGTCCCACATACCTTTGCTCTCTTGGGCTCTTTCCAGTTTTATAATTACCTATAAAGTATAAGTGGCTAGTGGTGCTGACCAAGGGATTTAAGAATGCGGGAGACTAAATAGATTTAAAAAGAGATGAAAGAAGCAGAATTTTTTTCCTGATCATATGCAGGCTTTTTATATACTTCATTCTGTCAGGTCTGTTTAGAGTGCAATTTCTGAATTTCTTTTGCTTTAAGCATATCTATATTCTGAACCTGCCTGAGACAGGTGCTTGCCTGAAGTAGTCTCAGGAATAGTCTGGAATTGCCAGTGAGTTAGGACTTCCCCTTTTCCCATATTCATGTGCCTCCAAGAAGCTGATCCCAGGTTCTTGCTAGGCAAATTCTGTATCAGTGAACCACACCTCACCCCCTAAGAATTTGATTTTGTTTGGTTTTGATACTGGGGTTTGAACTCCAGGTCTTGCATTCTACCATTTGCATCTATCTATCTTTGAATGATCCAATGCCTACAGCTCCCCATCCTTTTTGCTTTTGTTACATTTTTAATAGGATCTTGCTTTTTGCCCTGGATGGTCTGGACCCACCATTCTCCTTTTATGTTTCCAGCATAGCTGGGCTGGCAGGTGCTTGCCACCACACCCAGCTTTTTATTGGTTGAGATGGTGGTCTCATGAACTTTTTGTCTAGGCTGGCCTTAAGTCTGGATCCACTCTATGTCTGCCTCCGGAATAGCTGGTATTTTAGCTATGAGCCAATATGCCCAACCTGGAGAGTACAGTTTTAACCATCAGTAGAAAATCCCACGCCCCGCGCGAGTGCGTGCGTGCGTGCGTGTGTGCATGTGTGCGTGCGTGCGTGTGCCCGAGCACTAGTCCTGAGCTTTTGAACTCAGGGCCTGGACACTGTCCCTAGGTTTTTCTGCTCATAGCTAATGCTCTTACTGTTTGAACCACAATTCTGTTTCTGGCTTTTTGTTCGTTAATTAGAAAAAAGAATCTCCTGAACTTTCCTGCCCTGGCTGGCTTCAAATCTCAAACCTCAGATCTCAACCTCCTGAGTAGCTAGGATTACAGGCATGAGTCATTGGCGCCTGGCTGAAATTCCCTATTCTTGACAGAGCTTCTGCTCTATGTACTGGGATCTCTTTTTATATGTCAATATGTCATGGTCCTTATCCACACACTCAGATATTGCATAACACTGAGAATAAGCAGCGTATATGTTTCCAGTTGATGGACTATTGTCTTTCTTTTGTATGGATTGACTTCATGTGGACCTCATCTCAGACTGAATCCATTTGTCCAATACTGTTTTTTGTTTGTTTGTTTGTTTGTTTTGTTTTGTTTTTTTGGTCGGTCGTGGAACTTGAACTCTGGGCCTGGGCGCTGTCCCTCAGCTCTTCAGCTCAAGGCGAGCGCTCTACCACTTGAGCTACAGCGCCACTTCCGGTTTTCTGGTGGTTTATTGGAGATAGGAGTCTCACGGTCTCTCCTGCCCGGGCTGGCTTTGAACCGCGATCCTCAGATCTCAGCCTCCTGAGTAGCTAGGGTTACAGGCGTTAGCCACCAGCGCCCAGCCCAATACTGTTTTTAAGAGCCAGCTCTCACTATAGCTTTGAGCCCAAAATGAATGCCCAGATGTTTCTCTTTTGATTGCTTTCTCTGTAGATTTGCCAAAAGGAAAGAGCCCAGACTGTACTGGCAGAAGAGACAAGTTATTTAATATTTATGAAGGAGTCAGATGTTCAGGGTATTTTACATCACACAGTTAGATATGGTCCTTGATAAACTCACACTCAATTTATGAGCACCAATCCACAAGGAACACAAATAGCAGCCCATCCACTTCTCTGTTATTTGGCCGGGGAGGAAGTGCTTTATACAGGCTCCCAGTTTGAGGCAGGCTCCATCATGCTTATGCTTCCAGATGATCCCCAAGCAGGAGAGAAGGGCTGGTGGCAGTGAAGGAAATTTTGGGTAACCTGACTTCATGTTTCTTTGCCTTCAGGGGGCAGCTCCACCAGCAGTGCTGTGAAAAGTGGACGCTGGTAAATGATGAGACTCAAGCCAAGATGGCCCGGATGGCTGCTGCGGCCGCGTGGGGCTTAGGTAAGGCTCTGCCCAGGTACTCAGCCAAGATGGGGCAAGAGAAACTTGATCTCTGTCAAAATGAGGCGTTGTGGTTGCAGGAAGGATGTCAATCAGTCCAAATGTAAATCCGACAATGCCCATCCACTTCTGAATTTCCCATTTGCCCTTTTTACTCTGTGGTTTCAACTAGCTTATAAGACATGAGTAAAAATGGATCCTCATGGGGAGGCTAAGGAAAGCTGCAGACAGGCATCAGAATGAGACTTGGTAGGTGAGGACCATATCCCTGCACTCCAGTGAGATACTTCTGAAACCAGAAGTGTTAGATTTCTACCACATACCAACTTCCCTGGCAGACCTCAGCTGGGCATCCTGTGATCCAGTTCAGATCCAGTTCAGTTCCATTACTGTCTACCTGGAAATCGGGGTCAGACCCAAGAGCCTCTACCCACTTCAGACACCAGGTGCTAGTGCCAGGCTGTCTCGCATTTCTAATTGAACTATTGTAAATCAGGATTCCCCAACCTCTTCCTCAGGTTTAATGATCTGTTAAGGTACCACACAAGACTCCAGGAATCACTTTACTTGTTTCATTCTGTTTTGTTGTGGTACTGGAGATTGAACTTGGACCTCAGGCCTGCTAGGTAACTGCTTTACCATTTGAACACCACCAGTCCTGTTTACCAGCATCTTGTGAAGAACACAGGTGAACACCTACAGCAGGGGAAGTCCAGAAGGGCGTTTAGCACAAAAGCTTCTCCCCCCTGTGGAGTTGGGGTGCAACTCTTTGAATCTCTTTGTTTGAGACATTCTTTTCTTTTTTGTGTGTCCCTTTCATGGGACTTGAATCAAGTACGTGAGCACTGTCCCTGGATTTTTGTGCTCAAGGTTAGCAATCTACCACTTGAGCCACAGATCTACTTCCAGATATCTAGTGGTTAATTGGAGATAAGAATCTCATGGACTTTCCTGGTCAAACTGGCTTTTGATCCGTGATCCTCAGATCTCAGCCTCCTGAATAGCTAGAATTACAGATGTGGGCCACTGGTGCCCAGCATGTTTGAAGTGTGAAGACTAGAGATAGGTGGTCCTGGATGGGCATTTCAATTTCTGTCATCAATAGTCTTTTTCCATTGGTCCGAATTGCGTATTTAGTCCATGTCATGATCTAGTGTGGTTATTGGAATTCCACCCATACTGTCTTTATTTCACACTGGAGTGAAAGGAGAAGGTGGCTGAGTATCTGCTTATTTCTTAAATTGTGGAGCTTCCCCAACATATGGAAGTAAAGAGAATAGTAATTAGACCCCCATTTGCCTTTCACCTCCAACAATTCCAAACATTTTGACCATTTTATTTCCTCTGCTTTCCATGCTGCCAGGCCCTTGCCCACCTCACTTCTTATCTTATCTCAGAGAATTGCAAAGCAGAGACTGTCCTTGAATCCTTATAGACATGTTGATTTCTTTTTTTTTTTTTTTTTTGGTCAGTTGTGGGTCCTGAACTCTGGGCCTGGCTCTGTCCCTCAGCTCTTCAGCTCAAAGCTAGTACTCTATCACTTGAGCCACAGCGCCACTTCCAGCTTTTTCTGCTTTATGTAGTGCTGAGGAATTGAACCCAGGGCCTCATGCATGCATGCATGCAAGGCAAGCACTCTACCACTGAGCCACCTTCCCAGCTCCAGAGATGTTGATTCTGACCCCAGCTGAGGGCTTGGCAAACGCAGGCTCCTCCTGAGAGGACAGGCAAGGACAGATAGGAATTCAAGGCTGCAAAACTCCTCCTGTGGAGTCTGGAGCACAGGGACATAACCGCCCACCTCCATTCTGCCCCTTCTGAGTAATAGAGAGAGCTTCTATCTTTTCCTGTCCTGACCCCTGGACTGGATCCAGAGGATCTTTAAAAACAAATTACTTCCTGAGGAGTCATCCTTTGCTATCTGCCTTTGCCCAGAGGCATTGGGAGTGGATGAGGCAATGGTCTGGAGAGGCAGAAAAACACCTTGTAAAATCTACAGCCTTACAGTTGACAGCAAATGAAGCTGATACTGTATGCAGATGGTGTGGGCAGTCCTGGCATTTGATACCTGTTCACCCTGCAGGGAGGCCAGGGAAGGGGAATGGGAATGCCTCCCCTCAGATTCAGCCATTTCCCTAATCTAAGATGGTACAAAGGCCTCTGCCTTAACCCAAACCATCTTTCTGTTCTAATAGAACCTCTTAAAATATTTACCTCTTCCCTCCCGAGGCTAAGATATTGACAGAGTAAAAAGACCAAATTGTTGAATCCCATTCCCTATCTGTATAATGGCATACTCGGGAACAGGAACCTGTCTTTTTCAGTGTCCCACTAAACAGAGGTACTTGTCCTGTAGGGTCTGCAGGGTTTTCTAGGTTGGTTAGCGGCAGCATTAAGCCCATCTGATGTGGCTGTGGTGCTTCCTCTCATCTTCTGGGATGCTCTGGGGTAACAGTGGAGTCCTGTGTGTTGAAGACTGATGTGGCTTTGTTAATTGGCCCATACAATAGATAAGAGATCTGTGGGATTTGACACATCAGGCTCCCATTCATTTGTTGTAACGCTAAATGAAAGTAAGCAATGGCAAAGTAAGCAATGGCACTGCTCACGTGAGATGCTGCTCTGGCCCATGCAATGCTTCCGTGCTTGTGTTTGTAAACCAGGTCAGTGGGACAGCATGGAAGAGTACACCTGCATGATCCCTCGGGACACCCATGACGGGGCGTTTTATCGAGCTGTGCTGGCGTTACATCAGGACCTCTTCTCCTTGGCACAACAGGTAAGAACCTACATGTGTTCTTCCAGGCCTTCCAGCAAAGAAAAAGTTGCAGTCATGGCCTGTTATCTCCTAAGTACATGAACCCGTGTAAATATGCTCCTGAACCTCAGCTCTGCAGCTTCGATGCACAGTACTCACTGACAAGGTTGACTGCCAGACAGCAGGAGCTGATGTGTTCTGAGTATAGAAGGCAGATTCTGGAAGCTATTGTGATCATTACACCTTTTTGTCACCTTGCCTTAGCACTTGTAGTGACAGAGGCTGTTAAGTGTACCAAAGGAGGATTCAGAGAGCCATTGATCCCCACCATATAGCAGAAGTCAGTGACAGGGGGTCTAGCCACTCAGGGGGGCACACATTGATTACCTTCAAGGAAGCACAACCTGTGCTGACGTGCAGAATGAAATAATGAAGTGATACGTTCACCTTGTCAGGCACCAGGCCGTTGGATGAGGCGCTGTTGTAAACCGTCCAAGCCCTTCAAGGTTGGGAACATAGTAATTAACCTTAAACATTCAGCAAAGGAAAAGCTCCACAGGATGGGTTTTAATTGATGGAGCAGAAAAGACTCGAAGTCTTATGGCATCCCTGGGCTGACATACAAGATCTAGGTCTTCTGGGCCAGAGACCCAAGAGCCCCAACCCCTGGGACGGGCCAGGAGGCACCTCTTCATGAGGACCCGGTGCCTGGAAGCCAGATGACCCCTAGAGCCATCCAAGTATGCACAATCTGTTTTCACAATGTGCTCAGCAAAGAAAAAATCATAAGAAGGTGTCCTCCTGAGATGCAAGAACGCAGATTCCACTTCCCAGTTATTTTTTTTCTTTCTCTCCACACGAGGTTGCGTGTGTTACCTTACACTTTTCAGATGCCACATACTTCTGTCATTAATAAAAAATTGGATCATGTCCTCAATACATTCAGATCTGGGGAAAGGTTTCTTGCTGTCTTTGGTGAATTTTTCTCTTCACTGGGATTTAAGCAAAACAGCTGGTTTCTGCAACTAGTTAGGAATTCCTAGTGTGACCTTAAGTTCTCAAGTGCAAAGCCCAGTTCTAGAGATTCTTTCTTTGTCTCTTAGTGCATTGACAAGGCCAGGGACCTTCTGGATGCTGAATTAACAGCAATGGCAGGAGAGAGCTACAGCCGGGCATATGGGGTAAGTACACATTGTCACTTTTGAAATTCACTTTAGTTCTGTTTTCAGAGTAGATAATTGAGAATTCAAAGTGCTGAGAACAGGTGTGTTTTCTGAAGTCAGCAAATAACCTGACATCAGAAGGGATGATTAAAATGAATTGTGGCTTTTGGGTTGTTCATGCAATAATTATATTGGAATGGATTTGCTTCCATCAGGCCATGGTTTCTTGCCACATGCTGTCCGAACTGGAGGAGGTGATCCAGTACAAACTTGTCCCCGAGCGGCGAGAGATCATCCGCCAGATTTGGTGGGAGAGACTTCAGGTGAGCAGTTAGGCGTCTCTGGTTCCTTGCCTGGGGACCCCGCCCTCCTGCTCTTTCTCACTGTTCCCATCTTCTCTATTGAGCAGAACCCTCATCCCAGCTTGAGCTGTGAGAGAACCACCAATTGTGCAGCCCCCTCTTACCCTTCTCTAAGAGGAAAAGAAAATCCGGTAGCATGGTAGAACACTTGTCTAGCAAGTGAATGGCTCTTAGTTCAAACTCAAGGGTATTGTCAAAAAAAAAAAGAAGAAGAAGAAAGTGTACTTAGAACCAGCCAGTCATTACTCCTAACCTCGCAATCATGTGGAGAGCTACTCTCCAGTACAACCTCCTTGCAGAAGCAGTTCTCAACTACCAGCTATGGCCAGTAACAGTTCCTTAGGTCAGAGGCCTCCCAGCTCCTCTGTTCAGACTTCCTTCCACTGCAGTTTTCCTTTGTAGAAACTTTTGGCCTTTCAGGGTAGTGTTCTGATCATCGTAGTTTGAGGAGCTGCCAACCCACCGACCTAGGAGGGTCTCCACTGCTCTTGGGCAGGACTCCCAGCCCTCCCGCCCCTTGGATAGTTTGGAGAGGAAGATCATCAGCAAGGGAAAAAGTAAACTGAGGGCTAATTCAATGATAGAGCATTTGCTTAGCACACCTGAGGCCCTGAGTTCTATCCCAAGCACCAAAAGAGAGAAAGAGAGCCCCCTTTAGCCACTCCAAGAACCACTGGTCTCTCTGTGCTTCTCACAGTGGATCTCTTCCATTAATAAAGCCATTTCCTTTTAACTAGCTCTACCCCTCATTCTAAATTCTATCTCTGGATCAGTTGAGCTTTGAGCTTCCAAGCTTTTCGGTAGCCTGCGACAGACCTTTTGACTCCAAGCTACATTCCTGTCTAGGAAGCTCAGGGCACATTCCTCTGGCCAGGAAAGAGCAGCAGGCAGAGGAACGCCTGTGCATCCACCGTTTATGGCTCTGATATGAGCACATACAGTTCTTCCCCTTGTTTTATTAGTAATTATGAAATGCCCAGTAAATGTTTTGATGGAAAATTGTCTCCTGGGCACCAGAAGGAATTCCACAAAGCAAGCATTTCCCACTTGGCTTGTCCACACCCTGGTGTCTTTAAGTGTGATGGGATGAGGAGTTTCCGAATCAGAGATGCAGTGATTCTTCAGACTTTTTTTTTCAAATGGGATTTATAAATATAGAGTTGGAGGAGGATAGATGAATGAGTTCTGACTTTGCCCAGAACACCATGATTGCCTTAAGCCTTCATGACTTACTCCGGGAAAGTCATGCAGGGAGCAACATGCTTTTTGGCCCACAAAATTCTTTCTACATCGGGGAGAAAGCTGCCACTGATGAGACATAATCAAAACTACCACTCCATGTGCTTTTTTTTTTTTCTGATTTTCTAACTGTTCAAATCATTGTTGTCACACTTTATGGAATGAAAAGCTTTTATCCAAGGCTAAAATTAAAGCATTGCTCTGTGGTGGAAACTTGGCTCTCGTGGCTGGCTGGCTGTCAGAATGGACTGCCTGGGCTGGAAAGCTGCCATCTTGTGGTCAAGTCATTAAGATTAAAATCTCCCGCCAGTATCTGCCACGGAGCAAATGAAGAGGCCAGCCTTGGCTGCACTGGGTGCCTCAGGCTCTCAGTCAGGTTCAGGTTGCCCCTGTCACGTGGGAAACCCAGGGAACTCTGCTGCTAGACTGGCTGTTTCTATTGAGGACAGCTCCATGGGTTCCTGGCATTTGGCTGTGAAGCAGCAGATCTTAGGAACCCATCTCCCATCCCAAATCTGACTTCACAGAAAAGGAAAAAAAAAGAAGCTTACTTCTAGCAAGCATTTGGTATAAAATTAGCTTAGTCCTTTGATATTGATTAATTTTCTGTGTTTTTCCATTGAGGCCTTTCTCTTTCCATATGGATTTCTCTTTTTTCATTTTTGTGCCAATACTGGGGCTTAAACTTGGGGCCTGGCACTATCCTTGAGCTATTTTGCTCAAGGCTAATGCTTTACCACTTGAGCCATAGCTCCACTTCCAGCTTTTGGGGGGGTTAACTGGAGATAAAAGTCTCACAGAAGCTGGGTGCTGGTGGTTCATGCCTATACTTCTAACTACTCAGAAGGCTGAAATCTGAGGCTCCCAATTCAAAGCCGGTCCAGGCAGGAAAGATCGTGAGACTCTTACATCTCCAATTAACCACCAGAAAACTAGAAGTGGTGCTGTGGCTCAAAGTGGTAGAGCGCTAGTCTTGAACGAAAGGGTTCAGGGACAGTATCTAGGCCCAAGTTCAAGCTCTATGACTAACTGAAAAAAAAAAAAAAGAATCTCAGAGGCTTTCATGCTTAGGCTGGCTTTGAACCACGAACCTCAGATCTTAGCCTCCTAAGTAGCTAGGATTATAAGGTGTGATCTCCAGCGCCCAGCCTGTTTCAACTTCTTATACATTTAATTCATATTTAGATTTTCAATGGTAGATTTTAAGTTTAATTTCTTTGTCAGTGATAGTCATCTTCAACCAGACTAAAAGCAAAATAGTTAAGAATGTATTACTAGCACAAAAGTACTTGATTATAGGCTCATACCTATAATACTAGCTACTCAGGAGGCTGAGATCTGAGGTTTTCAGTTTAGAACTAGCCTGGGCTGGAAGGTACATGAGACTTATCTTCAGTTAACCACAAAAGGAAAAAAAAAAGAGCTCAAGGACAGTGCCCAAGCCCTGAGTTCAAGCCCCAGGACTGGCAATAATAATAATAGTAATAATAATAAAAGCTTGAATTAATTTAATTCATTTAATCCTCACCATAATCCTGTGAAGTTGTTACTGGTTTGACTACAGATCATTCACCAAAGAGGGTAAGTAATGCCCAAAGAGACACAGTGGCAGAGCCAGGCTTCAAGTTCTTTGCCCCATTTCCAACTGCCTATCAAACTGTTGTGAAATCCCTACGATGTATTTTATTTCATTCACAGTATCTCTAACTTGAGAAAGTTCACATTGTATCAGTGAATTCCCTTTTTGGTTCCAAGTAGATTTCCTTGGTGGTTGTAGAAGGGTAAGGTAGAAAGACAGGCCTAACCCTCCTTTCTGAATGTTCCCTGAATGTTCCAGGGCTGCCAACGTATTGTGGAGGACTGGCAGAAAATCCTCATGGTTCGGTCCCTTGTGGTCAACCCTCATGAGGACATGAGAACCTGGCTCAAATATGCAAGCCTGTGTGGCAAAAGTGGCAGGCTGGTGAGTAACCCCACCACCTAGCAGGGTGCTGCTCCTGGCCCAGGTCTGTTTATAACTTGTCCTTTCTTGCTTTGAAGGCTCTTGCTCATAAAACTTTAGTATTACTTCTGGGAGTCGATCCATCTCGGCAGCTTGACCATCCTCTGCCCACAGTTCACCCCCAGGTGACCTATGCCTACATGAAAAATATGTGGAAGAGTGCTCGGAAGGTAGGTACCCAAATCAACCCGACAGAGAACACCCTCTCTAGAATGCCCGCCTGATCTGCCTCACACTGCCAGAGAGGAGCCAGAATCCTCACCACCTCTCCGCAGGATCAGGGGTTCTTCCTGGTTTCACAGAGGGGATCATAGGCAAGGATCTGCACAAGTGTCATTGGCCAAAGCAATGAGGGCAGTCATCGTTTCCAGAAAGGGCTAGGACATAAAAAAATAAAAGACATAATTTTTAAAAGAAGGCAGGCTCTTCATGAAAAAAACACAGACTAAGTTGGTCTTTTGTAAGACCAATTTGATTTTCTCAGACTTCTCGGCTCCTTTCCTGTCATCAATTTGGATTCCAAAGCAACAACCTTTGGGGTACAATGCTGAAAGGAAGAGGGAAAATTATCTCAAAGCCAATGTAAAATTCCTTTTTATTTACAGACCAGCCACTGGGAAACAGATGTGGCTCTTGGTGTTTGTTTTTGTTTTTCTTTTTTAAACAATCTCCCTGGGTGATGGAGGTGACAAAAAAGTAAGCCCTAGAGGCAAAGCCCACCTGTTTTGGCTCCTCCTCACCATGTCTTTACCAAAAGAGAAAGGGAGCTTCAGCCTTCTCTTGTCCTTGTCCCCCACTAGTGCCCCTAATGAGAAAGGAATGAAACCTCAGCGTGGGCCCATGCTGTAGAAAGAGCTGATAGCATCATAGTTGTATCTGCAAAGGAGACTAAAAGGTCCCTGGACTGATTTAGGACCTAACTCCTTTTATAGATGGCTGACTCCATGTGACTTTGAATGCTACCCAAATAAGATCAGCAGCCCTGCACCCAGGCACCTGGTCTTTAGTGCCAGGTCACCTGGTCATTACTAATGACCCATTTTCTTCTCCAGGCATGCAATTGGGTGATTTTGTGGTTTTGAGTTTTTGTTTGTGTTTGTGTTTTTGTTTAGTCCTGTGGTTTTTGTTTTTGTTTGATACTGGGGCTTGAACTTAGGACCTAGGCTCTGTCCCTGAACTTTTCTGCTCAAGGCTAGCTCTCTACCATTTTGAGCTACAGCTCCATTCCTGGCTTTTTGGTGGTTAGAGATAAGAGTCTCACAGACTGTCTTGCCTGGGTTGCCTTTGAATCCCAATCCTCAGACCTCAGCCTCCTAAGTAGCTAGGATTATAGGCATGAGCCACCTGTACATATATTTTTATTTTTTTGTTTTTTTGTTTGTTTTTGTATGAATCTTGAACTCTGGACCTGGGTGCTACTCCTCAGCTCTTCAACTCAAGGCTAACACTCTACCACTTGAGCCATAGCACCACTTCCGGCTTTTTCCATTCATGTAGTGCTGAGGAATCAAACCCAGGGCCTCATACATGCAAGGCAAGCACGCTACCACTGGGCCACCTTCCCAGCCCCATATATTTTTATGTTTTAGTTTCTGACCCTCCCAAACCATAGCATTTCTAACTTAAAGCTTGACATCTAGGCAGTAAGACAGAAGGCGCTGGATTTGACTCCCTCTGCCTCCTTTCTACACATGGCCTCAAGTCTTTGCCTATCTTCCTGAAGGCAGTGTGATCTTGACCAAAGAGTGTCTTCTCCCAACACGACCAAAGCAGGAATTCGCCACAAAATGTTGCTTAGTAGCTCAAACTATCACATTCTTTTGGCTCTTGACACCAATTAATTCCTTACATTAAAATTTGTGGATTTGGTCCTGGCCTCCAAGCCAGAGATCTTCATTTCCCTTCCAGGCCACCTTCACCTCATGACATGTAAAAAACAAAAAACTTCTTAGGCAAGGTAGGGTAGCTCATGCCTTTCATCCTAGCTACTTGTAAAATAGAGATCAGGAGGATTGTCCTTTGAGGCCTCTGAGGCAAGAAGTTAGCGAGAACCCATCTCAAGCAATAAGTCAGATATGGCTCACATTCCTTGGTCTCACCTACATGGGAAGTTGTATAACTAAATAAGCAAATTTTGCATGGTGGTATTTTTTTCTTTCCTTCCTACAGCAAAGAGCACATAGCTTCTTTCACATGCTGTTTCCCTTCCCTGAGTTAGTGAATACAGAGGTTGGCGTTTTCCCCTCAAGCTTTAGAATTTTGTGCCTTCAATCCCCATCTTGGGTGTCCTTTAGAAAATAGTGTTGGACCCTATTTATTAAAATGCTGTGTGCATTAGATGCAGTAGGCCTCTAGGTCTAGATTCTACAGCTCTTCCCCAGTGCAGCTGCCTGCTCTTAACTCAGTGCCTTCTGCTTGAGTTGGGTGAAAGATGCTCTACAGATTTTTGTTCTGCCAGGTGCTATGGCCTGTAATCTTAGCTACTCAGGAGGCTGTGATCTAAGGATCACCTTTCTAATCCAACCTAGTCAGGAAAGTCCATGAGACACTTTAATCAATAAAAGCCAGAAGTGGAGCTGTAGCTCAAGTGGTAGAGTTCCAGCCTTGAGGGGAAATCCTGAAAGATAGCATTCTGACCCTGAGTTCAAGCCCCAGTACCTGCCCCCCTACCGGCCTCTCCCCCAGAAAGGATTTTTGTTCACAAGCCACCCTGTTCACCTAGATGTCTGCCTCGCTAGTATCTTGTCCATCTTGTGCTTAAACACGAGGGCCTTCTTCTTAAGTGGGTTCTGAGAGTTCTTCCTGATTTTTAATTCTGCAGTTTTTGCTATGCTGGAGCAGCCAAAGGCCATAGTTTATAAACAGATGCTAATACTTTCTCAGCCTGAAACAATTCCCCAGGAGCCTAATTTCCCCTGGGGCCCCATTATACTATAGTGAAGTAAGCACTTGTTTCAGATTGCTTCATAGGACTTTCATTTGGGATAGCCAGGCATGGCACTTTTCCCAGACTCATAAAACTGCTAATTACAGTTGGCAAAGGAGAGCTAAGATTTGACTTGAATAAACTACGAATGCCCTGGCACAGCCCTCTCACACCACCCCCACCACCACCACCCCACCCCAGCAGCAAGCCCTGGTCCTCTGTCCCATGAGGTCCTCACCTTGTACTAGGGTGTGTTGCTGACCTGTGCACCTGACTGATCAGATCACATGACCCTTCCTGCCTTTGTCCTGCCGCAGATCGATGCCTTCCAGCACATGCAGCACTTTGTGCAGACCATGCAGCAGCAGGCCCAGCACGCCATCGCCACCGAGGACCAGCAGCACAAGCAGGAGCTGCACAAGCTCATGGCCCGGTGAGCACCCCAGCCTCCTCAGCGGCTTCTGCAGCAAGGGACCAGTCCGGCTCCTTGAGTGGCTTGCTCTTGAGGCCTTCCATCTTTTATCAAATGGAACTGCTCCACAGGCCCCTCCCACTTACACATTCCTAGGGGTCAGCACCAAGAACACCCATGTGCTAGCTTCATACTAGAGTCTGGGGTTAGGATTAGACTTCTCATTTCCAAATAGCAGAGCTGCTGCTAATTTAATGTTTAGATAAGTTTGACTTTATATGAGGTAGGCAATCTCAGTTTTCTCACTGCAGACGTCTAAGAGTTCCTATCTGGGATGTGTAAGGTGTGTGAGGCATTATGGGCAGAGCCTGCCACACATGGAGGACTGTATCTAGAGTTCAGCAGTCAATATTGCCACTGGCCAGTAGAAGCAGAAGAAGGGAGAAGATATATGGCAGTCCATATGACAAGTAACTTGATAACAGTCCGCACAAAACTTCAGTTTGGGGTAGATAGGGCTATGCAGACTCATCTGTACCAGGGGCCTGTCTTATGCTGGCATTGGAAGACGAAGGCTATGAAGATGAAATCTCCATTAAAGCCTACCTACAGACCCCAGACCCTTCAGTCCACATAGCTGAACATTCTACTGGTCCCAGATACCAGAAGGGCTTTAGGGTACCCTGAAGTCTCTTGGTCTCCTTGGAGGAGGGATGACATGGGTGCTTGGTTCTATGTTTTCAGGTGTTTCCTGAAACTTGGGGAGTGGCAGCTGAACCTCCAGGGCATCAATGAGAGCACCATCCCCAAAGTGCTGCAGTACTACAGCGCTGCCACCGAGCACGACCGCAGCTGGTACAAGGTAAGAAGGGCAGGGCTGGGCTCCAGACCTCCCACTTCTCCACGTAGAGCCCCGGGCCCAGTGGCTCAGCCAGCCCTGCCTGAGTTCTGCAGCTCTTCCAGGAGCTAGTCTGAGCGATGACTTTGCTCCTGAAATACCTGGAGCCTATGTGTCAGAGACTCAGGAAGTCTCTTAGAAGTTGAAGAGAAGCAGAGAGATTGATCATTCTTTCATTTGAGAAAATATTTGTAGGGCTAGAGGTATGAGTAAAGTGGTAGAACACCTAGTAAGCATAATGTCCTGAAATCAAACCCCAAGGCTGAGGGGAGCAGAAAGAGATTTTTTATGGCTGGGATGTAGCACTAGTGGCAGGGAACTTGCCTCACATGTTTAAGCCCCATCCTTAGCACTAGAGAAGGAAGGAAGAAGGGAGCCAAGGTTCTTATTATTCCACCCGCGTTCTGTGTGTGGCACTGGAAGTGCTCAGAAGCATCTGGACACACAATTGATCTCTGCAACTTTATTTCCCTTGGGTCATCTATTCCTTCCCAGATTCTTCCTTGTCTTCTCCTCAGCTAAGAACTGAACTTTTTGTTTTGTTTTGTTTTTATTGGAAAGAGCTTAGTAACATTCTGTTATATTACCGGAAGCCTTTCAAAAAGACAAATAAAATGTACAAAAGATGTAGCTGGCTGCTGCAGGCCTGACTCTTGGAAATACACATCTTTGGAGAAAGCACACATTCTGCTTTTTCATTCTTTTTTCTCAGGGGCCTTGGTAATAGCCATTTGGTATAGCAGATGTCATCAGTTTCTTTCCGAAACCTCCTTAACTCACTAATACTTTAATTAATCCCTCTGGGATCTTACTTGCATTTGAAAACCACAGAAGCATTTACAATAAAATCTTATCTTCTAAGCATGCTTCATGCTGATCTCAAAAATGCCTATTGATGCTGAGGATGTAGCTTACACGCTACAAGACCCTGGGTTCAAACCTCAGTAAAGGAAGGAAAAAGTGCCTATTTTATCATAGGAGTACTAATTGCCCTTTCTGAAGACAGCTGTGTGTCCAAATTTGCAGAACCCAATCTCATGGTTAGCAGGGACCTTCCTAATCAGAACCACACCCTAATCTAAAGTTACTTTGTTCACTCAGCTTTTAGAAAAGTAAATTACAAGAAAAACTTTCACTCAAGGTTGGTTTTTATTTTGGGGGGGGAGGGAGCTTGTTGGTTTTGCCAATCCTAGGACTTGAACTCAGGACTTGAACTGTCCCTGAGCAGCTTTGTGCTTAAAGCTAAGTAGTTTATTGGAGATGTGAGTGTTATGATCTTTCCTGCCTAGGATGGCTTCTAACCATAGTCCTCAGATCTTAGCCTCCTGAGTGGCTAGTATTATAGGCATGAGCCACTGGCACCCAGCTCTCAGAATTATTTTTTTTTTTTTGGAGGGGTCCGGTCATGGGCCCTGAACTCTGGGCCTGGGTGCTGTCCCTCAGATCTTCAGCTCAAGGCTAGCGCTCTACCACTTGAGCCACAGCGCCACTTCCAGCTTTTTTTTTTTCTTTTTGCTTATGTGGTGCTGAGGAATCGAACCCAGGGCCTTGAACATGCAAGGCAAGCGCTCTACCACTGAGCCACCTTCCCAGCCCCCCCCCTTTTTTTTTTTGGTCAGTTGTGGGATTTAAACTCTGGGCCTGGGCGCTGTCCCTCAGCTCTTCAGCTCAAGGCTAGCACTCTACCACTTGAGCCACAGCGCCACTTCTGGCTTTTTCTGCTTATGTGGTGCTGAGGAATCGAACCCAGGGCCTCATGCATGCAAGGCAAGCACTGTACCACTGAGCCACCTTCCCAGCCCCTCAGTATTAATTTTTAAAAGCATTTTCTGCTGTGTGCATCTCCTTGGTTTTGCGTGCCTTCTACTATTCCCCTCATGACACTGCATAAAATGCCAGCACAGTTGGTCTTATTCACCTTGACCCAGACTTGTGCCTGGTGCTGAGTGGGCATATAAGAGGTATTGTTACCTAAATAAAGGCATGGGGAAACTGGACGGAGGTCTTGTTAGAACCCTTTCCAACCAGCTATTTTCCCATAGATGAAGTGTGGCCATCATGCCCACTCCTCCACTGTCTGCCCAGCACGTTGCCAGCCTTCCTCACTCCTCTCCTGTGAGCACCCCTAGCTGCAGGCAGATCTGTCTCCTGTGGATGCTCTGTGCTGGCCTCCAAGTGTCCTTTTCTTCCCCTCGCAGGAAGTCCTCCCTGTTGTCCTCCCCCTTATCCCTCCATATCCAACTACAGCTGCCTAGCTCAAGTCCACCTCTTGAAGCTCCTCAGATCCACAACCCCAGATCCACAACCCCGTCACTCATTGTTACCTCTTCCGGCCCTGGTCACAACTGCCTTACAGAGTCCCTAAGTCTTCCAGTTTGTGAGGTTCAAAGGTCCCTTGAAGCAAGGCCTGCTACACTCTGCCCCTCTTTCTGTGACCCACTGACCCTAGGGTGCTTCATGTCGTAAGTGCAGGCAAGATGAGTAAGGCACACTAGATTCAGTAAGCCACCTCCTTCCTGTGTCTGTAGCAGTGGGGTCTTTACTCTCCTCACCCGAGGCCCCATCCTCAGAGTGCACACACACGGAGGCCATCACAGCCCTGCTACAGCACCAGCCTCGTGCCCCTCCATGCTCTGCTGTCATTCACAGCCCCTTATCTGCCCTTGACTCTTGCCCCACCAGGCCTGGCATGCGTGGGCAGTGATGAACTTCGAGGCTGTGCTACACTACAAGCATCAGAACCAAGCCCGCGATGAGAAGAAGAAGCTGCGTCATGCCAGTGGGGCGAACATCACCAATGCCACCACTGCCGCCACCACCGCTGCCACCGCCGCTGCCGCCGCCAGCACAGAGGGCAGCAACAGTGAGAGCGAGGCGGAAAGCGCAGAGAACAGCCCCACACCCTCCCCGCTGCAGAAGAAGGTCACAGAGGTAGGGCCTCCTGGGTCCTGGTGGGCACAGCCCTGGAAAGTGGATGGGTGTGAGGTAGTGGAGCCTGGGGTTTTCTCTGTGGCACAGGACACGTGGCCTGTCCGCCTTGGCCGTATGTGCATGCGTTCATGCACCTGGGCTGGGAACGGCTCCCCGTGGTCCTTCCCACATGATGAGCTCATACTCTCCGCTGTACTGTGTGGGTGGCCATCACAGCTGCAGCTCCACGCTGAGGGCAGGGCCTGGAGGAACAGTCCAGAATGTACCAAGGCAGCCGCAGGCACAGAGAGCAGCGTGCACAGAGCCTCAGCTACTCTGAGGCATTCACCTTTTTGTGGCACTCTCCAGTAAGCCACTGTTAGCAGTAGTTAAGGGGGGAAATGCCATTTATTGACTACTTGCTCTGTGCTAGGTTCTAATAAAGTTTTTTTGTGCTTAACTGGCTTAATACCCGTAACTACCCTCTGAGGCCAGGACAGTTACCATGAGATTACACCCATGGCATAGACGAGAAAGCTGGAGCCAGGGCTGTGACCGTGAGGTTGTGCCCATGTTATAGATGAGAAAGCTGAGGCAAGAGTGTCACTGACACATGTGTCTTCCACCAGGACCTGTCCAAAACCTTGTTGATGTACACCGTTCCTGCCGTCCAGGGCTTCTTCCGCTCTATCTCCTTGTCCCGAGGCAACAACCTCCAGGATACGCTCAGGTACAGGGAATGTGGGGTGGAATTCTGGGAGGCCATGTTAATGGCAGGACACAAGTTCCTCCAGAGTCTGCAGCATGGGCTCATGGGCCTTTCTCTACCTGCACCTTGAGGAATGAGAGCTGACCAGGCCCCACCTATGAGGGAGAAAACTGCAAAGAATAAGGGGGTGAAGTGAAGTGAAGCCACAGTACCTCACATGTACCTGCTGCATTTAGGGGTCTGCACAAATGGTCTAAACCAGTCAGTCCACAGGCCTGAGGCGACAGCTTCTTCCTCCATCCGGCACCTGCAGCCAGCTACGCTTCCATCCCCCCATTGTCCCTTTTCTCCTCCATCCATGCTGAGCTCCCGTTGCCCTTTCCAGTGGGCATTTCCTTCCCCGCACGCACACTGCAGTTCTCTTGTGTTACTCTGCTGGGCTCATCTGCTCCATGTCTGAGTTTATGCCACAGTCACCCCCCAACATGATCTGGGATGGTAGTCACAAGTCAGCCAGGAGCTCTGCCAGTCGTCACAGATCCTGAAAGAAAACAGACGAACGCTGAGAGCCACGGCAGCTGGTGACTCTCTCACTTGTCTTTTCCAGAGTCCTCACCTTGTGGTTTGATTATGGTCACTGGCCAGATGTCAATGAAGCTCTAGTGGAAGGGGTGAAAGCCATCCAGATTGATACTTGGTTGCAGGTAAAGAAACTCAGTGAGGGCTGGGAAGGTGGCTCAGTGGTAGAGCGCTTGCCTTGCATGCCTGAGGCCCCTGGGTTCGATTCCTCAGCCCCACATAAGCAAAAAGAAAAAAGCCGGAAGTGGTGCTGTGGCTCAAGTGGTAGAGCACTGGCCTTGAGCTGAAGAGCTGAGGGACAGCGCCCAGGCCCAGAGTTCAGGCTCTATGACCGGACCCCCCCCCCCAAAAAAAAATAGAAACTCAGTGAGCTGGGCACCAGTGGCTCACGCCTGTAATCCTAGCTACTCAGGAGGCTGAGACCTGGGGATCACAGTTCAAAGCCAGCCTATGCAGGAAAGTCCAGTAGACTTACCTCCAATTAACCACCAGAACACCAGAAGTGGTTCTGTAGCTCCAGTAGTAGAGTACTCGCCATGAGCTTAAGCACTCAGGGACAGCGTCCAGGCCCCTAGAACTGACAAACAAACAAAAAAGAAGCTCAGTGAGGGTGGGTCAGCTTCTCTCCTGTGAGTCTCCTTGGATCCATGCAGTGGTTGAGAAACAAGGCAGTACATGTTAGTATTAAGGAAATAAAGCTTAGTCCCCAAGCCCAGACTCCATGGTTCTCCTTAGTTTTTGCTAGACAATGGAAAGAACAAACCATTTTAGGATCTAACAGACCAGACAAAACAAGTTGCAAGAGTAAATCTTCTGATCATTGGTCAGAAGAATAACTAGAGTTGTTTCCTTTGCCGCATAGTGTGTCTTTTTTGAATGCCAGGTTATACCTCAGCTCATTGCAAGAATCGATACTCCCAGACCCCTGGTGGGGCGGCTCATCCACCAGCTTCTCACCGACATCGGTCGCTACCACCCCCAGGTTTGTGGAAAACCCTGGCTTCTGCTGGGGCAGCCAGCCTTTTACTAACGCTGCTCGAGAGACCCAAATGCAGGTTCTGGAAGGCAGGTGCTCTCTCTTCTGCCTTTGGAGGGTCTGTCCAGCTAGTGGGGTTCTCGCCTTCAGTGACTCAGGGGCCTTCCTGAAAAGAAAGAGTCCCCTCCAAGTTGGAGTGGCTCCTTCCTGGTAGACTTACATGTTATTTCACCACTTTTTTGTTACCTTAAAGTTCACATCAGGTTCTTTGCACATGTGCCTCTGTCTGCTTCAGGCCCTCATCTACCCCCTGACAGTGGCTTCCAAGTCCACCACGACAGCCCGTCACAATGCAGCCAACAAGATTCTGAAGAACATGTGTGAGCACAGCAACACTCTGGTCCAGCAGGCCATGATGGTGAGTCTGGAGCCAGCGTGGCCTCCACTGGTCCGGCCTCCACTGGCCTGGCCTCCTCTGGTCTTGCCACCTAGAGCCAGTGTGGCCTCTGCTGATGTGGCCACCAGCCAGGGACTCCTGGGGCTTGGCTCCTCCTCACAGGAGTGATGCACGTTCCCCGTGGCTGTCCAGTCAGCCTTCCCATGTGTGGCTTATCCCTGTGCGCCCCCTCCCCCCTCTGTGTGCAGGTGAGTGAAGAGCTGATCCGTGTGGCCATCCTCTGGCATGAAATGTGGCACGAAGGTCTGGAAGAGGCCTCTCGTCTCTACTTTGGGGAGAGAAATGTGAAAGGCATGTTTGAGGTGCTGGAACCCCTGCATGCTATGATGGAACGGGGCCCCCAGACTCTGAAGGAAACATCCTTTAATCAGGTGTGTACTGTGAAAGCACAGGAGGGCGTCACCCACAGCTTTTCCCAGATGCCTGCCCTCCATAGCCTTTCTACCACCTTTAATCACACGTACGCAAACCAAGGCCAAAGGATCTAAAAACATCAGAAATGAACAGTCCTAGCACTCAAGAGGTTGAATCAGGAGGATTGTGAGTTCAAGGCCAGCCTAGACACAGATTGTCAAAACATAAAAAACACCAGAAATGTACTTGTTAAGTTACAGGAACCCTCCTCTTGTTGTTTTGTTTTTGTTTTATGCTGGGGCTGGAACTCGGGGTTTTACCCATGTCAGCCAACCGCACCACCCCTGAGCCATACCCTCAGTTCCCTCCTACAACTTAATTGGAAAATCACAAGTTTCCTCCAGAAGTCCTCTCATCTCCCTAATTGGCCCTTTACTAACAAGTCAGGTTCATGACCCAGAAGTGCCACGTTGGGACGTGCGTAGCTACGCTTGCTTACCAGCTCCCACCCAGCGCCTTTCAGCCACTATAGGCTTGGTGGGGAGGGGGCCTGGGCGGGGTTCTGCAGTCTGCTCGGGAGTTCTGAAAAGCTTGCCAACCTGGAAATGCCCCTTGCTTTCCCGCTCAGGCATATGGTCGAGATTTAATGGAGGCCCAAGAGTGGTGCCGAAAGTACATGAAGTCAGGGAACGTCAAAGACCTCACGCAAGCCTGGGACCTCTATTACCATGTGTTCAGACGGATCTCCAAGCAGCTGCCCCAGGTAGTCCTTCCTTTCACCCCTGGGAACCTGCTTCTCTTTCACCTCCACCTGAAGACTTGGGATGAGTAATTGTCTATAGAAATCCACTGACAAAAATACTTGACTTGTGGGGGGCGAGGGGGAGGTGAGGTGGGAAGGGATGGGAAGGGGAAACAAAGGAGGAGGCAACAATGCTTGATAAGAAATGTACTCATTACCTTGCCCATGTAATTGTAACCCCTCTGTATGGTATTTTCACAATAAAAAATTTTAAAAAATATTGCCATCAAATGATAAATATATATATATATATATATATATATATATATATATATATACACACACACATACTTACATCTAAAATCTCTGCCTGGAGGCAGCAAAGTAAAGCTTTGGTAATTATTCACAGCTCACATCCCTGGAGCTGCAGTATGTCTCCCCCAAACTTCTGATGTGCCGGGACCTTGAATTGGCTGTGCCAGGAACATATGACCCCAACCAGCCGATTATCCGTATCCAGTCTATAGCCCCGTCTTTACAAGTCATCACATCGAAGCAGAGGCCACGCAAGCTGACCCTCATGGGTAAGGACTGCTGTGAGCCCCTCCCCTCTCTGACATCATCCTTGGCAGACTGAAGCTGCCCTGTGTTGGCTAGGATGGGAATGGAGGACAGTCCTCCCCCTTGGCTCATCCCCTCAGGACTCCTTCCTCCCTCATAGTGGTGCTTGTTGAAGCTTGTAGTCACTTGTGTGGAGAACTGATTATGGAGTCAGGGTTGGGGGGGAATGGGGCCATCAAAGAGACATCCGATGTCTGGGATGTCTATCTTTGTGGGAAGTGACAAGCTACTTTGAAGGAGCTTCTGGGCTCCTGAATTTGTGTGTGTGCGTGTGCGTGTGTGTGTGTGTGTGCGTGCGCGCGCACGTGTGCGTGTGTTGATGCCAGTCCTGGGGCTTGAACTCAGAGCCTGGGCTCTGTCTCTGAGCTTTTATTGCTGAAGGCTAGCACGCTACCACTTGAGCCACAGCACTTCTGGCTTGTTCTGACTAGTTAATTGGAGATAGGAGTCTCACAGACTTTCCTGCCCAGGCTGGCTTCAAACCAAGATCCTCAGGTTTCAGTCTCCTGAGTGGCTGGGATGACAGGCCAGAGCCTGTTGTTTATTTACTGTCAGATCTCCTTTTAGGGAGATGATGGTGTCAGATGAACTGAATTCGAATTTTCCCCCAGGGGTAGCACAATACCTAGTTGGCCATTGAGGGAGGCCTGACTACTCCAGTGATACCATGAGGCATTTCACTCTTTTTTTCTGTCAGTTGTGGGGCTTGAACTCTGGGCCTGGGCACTGTCCCCTCAGCTCTTCAGCTCAAGGCAGGTTCTCTAACGCTTGAGCCACAGTACCACTTCTGGTGGTTAATTGGAGATAAGAGTTTCACAGACTACTTTCCTGCCCAGGCTGGCTTTGATTTCAGCCTCCTGAGTTGCAAGGATTACAGGCATGAGCCACCAGGCGCCCAGCTGCATCTCACTCTTAATATCACTTGTTTCTCAAGTGCAGTGATTACTGACCAACACCGTTAATCATGGTGCACAGGTGATGGTCTCTCCAGAGCCCTGTGTCTACTCAAACAAAAACATGGGTCATGGGGCTGGGAAGCTGGCTCAGTGATAGAGCTCTTGCCTTGCATGCATGAGGCCCTGGGTTCAATTCCTCAGCACCACATAAGCAGATTGAAAAAAAAAAAAGCCAGAAGTGGCGCTGTGGCTCAAGTGGTAGAGTGCTAGCCCTGAGCTGAAGAATCTGAGGGACAGCACCCAGGCCCAGAGTTCAGGCCCCACGACCGAACCAAAAAAAAAACAACAAAACATGGATCAGCCAGGCACCAATGGCTCACACCTCTATTCCTAGCTGCTCAGAAAACTAAGATCTGAAGATTGCAGTTTGAAACCAACCTGGGCAGGAAAGTCCCCATGATACTTTTACCTCCAATTAACCATTTAAAAACCAGAAGTGGAGCTATGGCTCAAGTGGTAGAGTACTAGCCTTGAGTGAAAAACCTCAGGGACAATGCCCAGGCCCTGAGTTCAGCCCCAGGACCAGTACTGAAAATAACGAACCATGGACCAAATTCTAAATTAAAGCGGCTCTGGAGTTTTTGTTGTTGGTTTTGATTTTTGTGTTTTGTTGTTGGCTGGTTGGTTTGGATTTTGTTTTGCTTTTGGCTGGTACTGGGGCTTGAACTCTGAGCCTCTTGCTCACCTGGCTTTTTTGCTCATAGCTGGCGCCCTACTAAAGTTTAAGTTAAAATGTGTAGGGACTGGTAGCTCACACATGTAATCCTAGCAACTCAGGGAAAAAAACCTCATGTCCATTTCTTCCTTCAAGGAACAGTAGGAGCACTTAGCATATACCATTCAAAGACAGCGCAGGCAGGAACTTCTGCTAGTCTCCAAAATAACCAGCAAAAAAGCAGAGATAGAGGTATGATCCAAATGGTAGAGCGCCAACCAAGCAACCATGCAGCCCTGAGTTCAAACCCTGGTATAATGTAGTACAGCACTTGCCAGACAAGTATGAGTCCCTGAGTTCAAAACCTCATTGCCTCTAATAAAAAGAGTTTAATGACGATGCTGCTCCCAGAGATGTGAGGAAAGTCAAGAACACAGAGGACACGCACAAAAACAACCACCTGAGAAGCTCCTGCTCTCCCCCCCACACACACACCTGCAAGGCAAGGAGCCTGGCAAGAACCACCCTGAGGGAGAGGCTACCCACGGAGCTGGAGCTAGAGCCGGATAAATGGCCACGGCCATGGTAGAACTGCAGGCCAGCCACAAGTGGGGATAGATGCCTTCACCTCTCCCTCTTTCTGGCCCCTGACCTGCCGGCTCTCTCACCCCACCCGGCCCCCAGGTGCTATGGACCTTTCAGGCCAGTAAGTCAGGGGAACGAAAGATACACAGAATCATTCCCGATCCACATACAGGGATTGTTTAAATTTGAACCACTCTTGGTTATTAGAAAGAACCTTGACAACAGAGCTACTTAACTCAATCGTGGGATATGTGTTTCTGCATGTGGGGAAAGCCTGATAAGGTTGGTAAAGTACATGTAGCCTGTAGGGTTGAAAATGAGTTTTTAGGCCAGACCCAAAGTCCAGGAGTCCCAGGTCAGGTCCAACCATTTCCCATATCCCACATAGCAGAGACATGGTGAAGGGCAGAGAGAGGAGATTCATTCCATGGCGGCCATGGAGAGGCAGCACTTCGGGACATCTTCAGTGTCTTCAGGGTACAGACATTGGCTTTGGATTAGGTAGGGAGAATTAGGGGCAGAGAGTGGGAGAGGTCTGCAGAGTTCCAACACTCAAGTTACAGGTGTGGTCTATTTGACCATCTGAGTCTGGCCTTTGTCTCTGGAGGAATTCTGAGAAGTTACTGATTTCTAACTGGAACAAAGTGGTCTCCTGAATTTAGAGTTGCTTTCTTTAGAATGATAAGAAGACATTGCTTGGGCTGGGAAGGTGGCTCAGTGGTAGAGCACTTGCCTTGCATGCATGAGGCCCTGGGTTCAATTCCTCAGCACCACATAAGCAAAAAGAAAAAAGCCAGAAGTGGCGCTGTGGCTCAAGTGGTAGAGTGCTAGCCCTGAGCTGAAGAATCTGAGGGACAGCACCCGGGCCCAGAGTTCAGGCCCCATGACCGGACCCAAAAAAAAAAAAAAGAAGACATTGCTTATTTGAGGGGCATTTTTGCTTTCCACATAAGATGTTTGTCCCAATTTTTCCTCCTGCAAACAAGGTGACTGCCACAGAGAATAGTCATATCAAAGAACACAAAGTTGGGGGACTTTTCGTTAATTCACAGGACTGGCAAAGAATCTTTTAAGTTGCCTCTTCAGGATCTTTGGTATATGTTGGTGGTCTCAGGGTATGGATGGGAGAACCTCTAGCTAGGCTAACTGCTTCTACCTGTCCTTCCAGGCAGCAATGGGCATGAGTTCGTTTTCCTGCTGAAAGGCCATGAAGATCTGCGGCAGGATGAGCGAGTGATGCAGCTCTTCGGCCTGGTCAACACCCTGCTGGCCAACGACCCAACATCTCTGCGGAAAAACCTCAGGTGCTCAGAACACCGTGCAAATGGCAGTTTCCTCCTACCTCTGTGCATATTACCATGTGCCTTGGTAAAATAAGTGTGCAGCTAGATACCTGACAAGAAGCCATACATAGCCAAGGTGCCAAACACAAGAAGATTCTCAAGAATTGTTAGGGTGCCCTCACTGGGAAATGCCTTCAGTGAAACTCAGAATGAGATTAGACTGGAGATTCTGTAGTCTCAGTGGGTTGTTTTGACCTCTTCTGCCTAGGACCATGGCTAGGAAGCTATTGTCCTTTAGTCTTAGAATAGTCTCTCCCCCACATAGAGACACAGTGAGGAAGCAGCCATCTTGATTCTGGACTTATCCTCCACAACTGTTGGTTATGCTGGCATTTTGTTATAGTCAGCCCCAGCTCCTACGTGAGTCTGAATCAGGCACCAGGGAGAAAAGTAGTGGCTTGATGCTTACCCCAGAAGTGACTTCATTAGGCGAGTGGAGAGGACTGCCGTGGCGCTCCCATCATCGGTCCACTATTCTTCACAGACGGTCCCTCACTACACAGCCAGGCAGAGGGCTCATTAAAGATAGTTTGCATATCTTGGCCTGGAAGTTTGTGGCAGCATGGCTCAAGTAGTAAAACCCCTGTCTAGCAAACTCAAGACCCAAGTACCTCAACAAAAAGAAAAAAAGGTGCACTTTGTTTACTGTACAATGACCCTGCTTTCCTGTGGGTGCTAGCATCCAGAGATACGCCGTCATCCCTTTGTCCACCAACTCTGGCCTCATTGGCTGGGTCCCACATTGTGACACACTGCACGCCCTCATCCGGGACTACAGGGAGAAGAAGAAGATCCTTCTCAACATCGAACATCGCATCATGCTTCGGGTAGGTGGTGGGGCCAGACCAGCCCCGCACCTTCAGCCTCAGCAGACTCGCATGCAGGACCATGCAGAGCTGCTTCTTTAGAAATCTATTTACCAAAAGAATGATTTTAGAAGAAGACTTAATGAAGTAAGTCCTAAAGCATTCGACCTCTAAGAAACTGAAGAGTGTCAGGTGCTGATGACTCACGCCTGTAATCCTCCCTACTCAGGAGGCTGAGATGTGAGGATCGCAGTTCAAAGCCAGCCCAGGCAGGAAAGTCCATGAGACTCTTATGTCCAATTAATCACAGAAAAAGCCAGAAGTGGACTGTGGCTCATGTGGTAGAGTGCTAGCCTTGAGCAAAAGGAACTCAGGGATAGCACCTAGGCCCAAAGTTCAAGGCCCAGGACAAGCAAAAAAAAAAAAAAAAAGAAGAGAAAGACACTGAAGGGTAGGGGTATAGCCCATTGGTGCACAAACTTGGCATGTACCAGGCCCAAAGTTCTATCCTTCTATCCCCATATGGGGGAGAAAAAAATTACCAAGAGAAAAACTGATAGATCTAAAGCCCAGAAACTTGATTTTTATCACATCATGCATAAATGTGTTTACGAAATGTAGAGAAATGTAGGAAGCAGTAGAGAAGCCATGGTGAGTAGATGTGGAGAAGAGGCATTTAGCACTCTCTCCTACTTTCATCCAGTTAGGCTTGTGCTGAAGTGAGGCCTGCTGTTCCTCCTTCAGGCTCCAGGCCTTCCTGTGGCAGCAGGTCAGAGTAGAGAAGCCATTCTATTTTTCCATTTGTTCTCCTTTTGGTTGTGGTGGTAAAATTAGGACCCAGTTCTTCCTGGCCCCTCAGGCTTGTTTCGTCCTGGATTTACACTGCTTGCTGAGTTGTTTTCTTATTGATTGCTTCTGTCCTGATTCAGATGGCTCCAGACTATGACCATTTGACGCTGATGCAGAAGGTGGAGGTGTTTGAGCATGCTGTCAACAACACAGCTGGGGATGACCTAGCCAAGCTGCTGTGGCTGAAAAGCCCCAGCTCCGAGGTACAGCCACAAGGCCCTACAGGCACTGCACCCCCTTGCCCCACAATTGGGCAGGTTTGGATGAAGTAGTTTGTTGTTTTCCCTAGTTACTTACAATAAGATGTGACTTCTATATGTTAAGGAAAGTTAGTATTTTTCATATATGCTATAACTTTCCTATTTATTTGCTTTTTGTTAATTTTGTTACTGTTTTAGGGTTTGTGGTTTTTATTTGCTTGTGTCAATACTAGGGCTCGAACTGAAGGCTTTGTGTTCTACCTTAGCTTTTTTGCTCAAAGCTAGTGCTCTACCACTTGAGCCACACTGCTACTTCTGGCTTTTTAGTGGTTAGTTGGAGATTAATTGGACTCCTGTGGATTTGTCTGCCTGGGTTAGCTTCAAACCAGGCTCCCACATTGAGATACCACTGCATACCCACTTGGATCTCAGTCTCCGGACTAGCTAGGATTATAGGCATGATCCACCAGCACAGCTACCTAGATTTTCTTACTCTAATGTTAAGACTCCCTGTTTATATTTAAATCCTAACTCAATTTGGAATTTTTTTTTAGTTTAAGACTTAAGTCTAGTTTTTTTCTTTTTCTTTTTGGTGCCAGTCCTGAGGCTTGAACTAAGGGCCTGGCTACTGTACACAAGGTTACTGCTCTACCACTTGATCCACAGCTCTACATCTGGCTTTTAGGTGGATAATTGGAGATAAGAGTCTCATGGACTTGGGCTGGGAAGGTGGCTCAGCGGTAGAGCGCTTGCCTTGCATGCATGAGGCCCTGGGTTTGATTCCTCAGCACCACATAAGCAGAAAAAGCCAGAAGTGGCACTGTGGCTCAAGTGGTAGAGCACTAGCCTTGAGCTGAAGAGCTGAGGGACAGCGCCCAGGCCCAGAGTTCAGGGCCCATGACCAACAGAAAAAGAAAAGAAAAGACAGGTGCTGGTGGCTCACATTTGTAATCCTAGCTGAGATCTCAGGAGGATGAGACCTAGGATCACAGTTCAAAACCAGCTTGGGTAGGAAACTCCATGAGACTCTTATTTCCAATAAACTGCCAAAAAGCAAGAAATAGAAGCTCAAGTGGTAGAGCACTAATCTTGAGTGAAAATAAGCTCAGCAACAGCACTTAGGCCCTGAGTTGAAGCCCTAGGACTGGCACAAGGAAAAAGAAAGAAAAGCCGGACACCAGTGGCTCATGCCTATAATCCTAGCTATTCAGGAGGCTGAGATCTGAAGATCACAGTTCAAAGCCAGCCTGGGCAGGAAAGTCCATGAGACCCTTATCTCCAACTAACCATCAGAAAACCAGAAGTGGCTCAAGTGGTAGAGCACTAGCTGAAGAGCTCAGGGACAGTGCCCAGGCCCAGAGTTCAGCCCCATGACCAACCCCCCCCCGCCCACCCCCCCCAAAAAAAAGAAAGAATAAAGAAAAAGCAGCCAGGTATGATGGTTAGTGTATACATGTATTCTCAGCTAGAGGACTTAGTCAAAAACAAAATGCCAACAAAAGAACTGGGGCATGATTCAAGTGTTAGAGTATATATCTTGCACCCACTAGACTCTGGGTTCAACAGGAGGAAAGGGAAGGGGAGGGGAGGAAAAGAGGGAGGGGAAAAGAAAAGGGAAAAAGATTTTTTTGAATTTTTCTTGGAATTATATTTAATGTTTCACAAGATTTTGAAGGAGTTTCATCTTTATAATCTTAAATGGATGTCCTAAATGGATATTTTCACTTATTCGAGTTTTTATGTGCCTAAGACAAGTTTATTCACCTAAGCCCAACAAATTTGTAATTAACTTTAATCTGAAGCATAGTTTATGTATTTATTTTTTTGACCGGTCATGGGGCTTGAACTCTGGGCTTGGGTGCTATCCCTGCGCTCTTTAGCTCCAGGCGAGTGCTCTACTGCTTGAGCCACAGTGACACTTCCGGTTTTCTAGTGGTTTATTAGAGATAAAGAGTCTCACGGACTTTCCTGCCCGGGCTGGCTTTGAACCATGATCTTCAGATCTCAGCCTCCTGAGTAGCTAGGATTAAAGGTGTGAGCCACCAGTGCTCGGCAACATAGTTTATGATTATAAATGGAATCTTTATTCTACTATACATTCCTTTTTATTATACTTTGATTATCTTTAAGGAGTTGCACAAAGGGATTTCAATTCAAGTCAGTTTATGCATCTTGATCAATGTCACCCCTTTCATCATTCTCCATCTCTCCCAACCCCACCCATCCCCTCTCCATTCTGAGTATTGGTGGAATATAAGGAAACAACTGATTGGGGTATAATTATGTTGAAATTATGTCTATAACATCCACAACTTTAGTTCTCATGTGCTCCATATTGTAGGTATGGTTTGACCGAAGAACCAATTACACCCGCTCTTTAGCAGTCATGTCAATGGTCGGATATATTTTAGGTCTGGGAGACCGGTAAGTGAGTTCAATTTGTTTCTTTTAGTCATCTTCCTACTTTGTTTTCCAATAAGATTTATGACCCTTTAGTAAGTAGCTTTGTATTTTGTACTTTAGACCTCCTTTCCAGCATCAACCCTAAGTTTCTAGTCTATACCAACAATAATTCCAACACAGTGGAGACAAGCAGAACTATAGTTCCAGAGTACCACTTTCCCCATAGGTTAATTTGGTATAAAAGCCAGGAGCCAGTTGCTCATGTCTGTAATCTTAACTGCTCAGGTGGCTGAGAGCTGGAGAATCATGGTTCAGAGCAAATCCAAACAGAAAAGCCTATGAGATGCCATCTCCACTCAACCAGCAGAAAGCCATGCTGAAGGCATGACTTAAATGACAGAGTATCAGCTGTAAGCTAAACAAGATAGTGTAGAGAGTGTGAGTCCAGAAGTCAAGTCCTGGTACCAGAAAAAGGCCATATTGCATCAAGTCATTTTATTATATATATATGTATGTATGTATATATATATATATGTATATATGTATATGTATATGTATAATCACCACTATGCTAAGGCAAATAATTCTATCTCTATAACTGGAACCAACCAAAGTAGATACTTAGGCTTCTTTGGGAGGGGGGGTGCAGTTAGTCATGATGGGGCTTGAACTCCGGGCCTGGGCGCTGTCCCTGAGCTCTTTCACTCAAGGTGAGCACTCTACCACTTTGAACCACAGTGCCACTTCTGGTTTTCTGGTACTTAATTGGATATAAGAGTCTCATAGGGACTTTTCTGCCTGGCCTAGCTTTGAATTGTAGATCCTCAGATCTCAGCCTCCCGAGTAACTGTATAAATTTTATCCAAATGTACATACTGAAAAAAAGCAACTAGGGAGAAGTTGTGGGCATGTAGCTCACTAGTCCAGCCCTTTCCCAGTGTACAGAAGGTCCTGGATTATTCAGTCCCCAGCAAGGTAGGTGGGGGCAGGGGGTAGTCGTGCTCAGAAATTGACTCAAGCTGAGTGCCAGTAGAAAAACCCCAGGGTCAGTGTCCAGGTTCTGAGTTCAAGCCCCAGGACTGGCACCAAAAAAAGAAAGAAAGAAATGACTCATGAGAATCTTAGGGAAACTGGTTCTCAATGGAGTCCAGTGGCTCACACATATCAGTCATCATACTGCTCAGGAGGCTGAGATCTGAAGAATGAGCTTTGAAGCCAGGACTTGCACAATCAATCAATCATCACTCTCAGCTGAAGGGCTCAGGACAGCACCCAGGCCCAGAGTTGAAGCCCCACAATGGACAAAAAAAAAAAAATGGAGAGAGAGAATGGATTCTCTTTGTCTACTGTTTTGCTTTTTCTTTTTGTCGGTCATGGGGCTCGAACTCAGGGCCTGAGGGCTATCTCTGAGCTTTTTCACTCAAGGCTAGCACTCTATCACTTTGAGCCACAGTGCTGCTACCAGTTTTCTGGTGGTTAATTAAAGATAAAAGTTTCACAGACTTTCCAGTTTGGGCTCACTTCAAACCACAGTCCTCAGATCTCAGCCTCCTAAGTACTATTCTCTTTCTGAATCATGTTTTGTGCAGTTATTTGAGAGTGAAATTGCCTCTGTACCCCCACCCAGTAATTCTTGTTTTTAAAAAACTAGGCTAGGGGTTGGGAAGGTGTCTCAGTGGTAGAGTGCTTGCCTTGCATGCACGAGGCTCTGGATTTGATTCCTCAGCACCACAGCAGAAAAAGCCAGAAGTGGCACTGAAGCTTAAGTGGTAGTGCACTAGCCTTGAGCTGAAAAGCTGAGGGATAGTACCCAGACCCAGAGTTCAGGACCCACAACCAGCAAAAATAAAATAAAATACTAGGCTAGACACAACAGTGCATACCTAAGTCCAAGACTTTGAAACCAGCTTGAATGATACAGTGAGATCCCATCGCAAAAAAACAAAAAGCAGCAGACTGCTGGATAACCCTGTCTGAACTGGCTCAGGGTTCAAGCAGCCCAGCCCCTACAACAGCTGTGCATTAGGAATGACAGCCAGGCCACCCTGAGAGGCCATCACTGTCAGAATCAACTCATCATGGGGCCCAAGATCCCAGCAAAGCAAATTTCTTTTAAATAAATCTTCATTTCGGCTTGTAAGCCCTTTCCAAGAGAAAGCTAGATAATAAATATTTGAGGCTTTGAAGGCCTCTGGTCACAAGCGTTCACCTGGGCCATTATAGCACAGAGGCCACTTGAAAGGGTTACAGAAATCAGGGAACAAAGGCAACCTGATTTATTACAAGGCAGGCAGGGACCAGACTTACCTGGCGACTGTGATTCGCCAACCCCAGCATAGACTTTCACATTCTTGTTGATTCATTCATCAGTGCTTGTCTGTTGATTCCTGCTCTTATTTGTGTTTCTCAAAGGCACCCATCCAACCTGATGCTGGACCGTCTGAGTGGAAAGATCCTACACATTGACTTTGGGGACTGCTTTGAGGTAAGTACATCTTCCAGAACCCTGCAGAAATTTTGCCCTGCTCACAGTTCAGGCAAACATAACCCAAAGGCCCCTCAGGCATCTTTCAGATTCTTTTTTTTTGTCAGTCATGGGGCTTGAACTCTGGGCCTGGGCACTGTCCTTCAGCTCTTCAGCTCAAGGCGAGCACTCTACCACTTGAGCTACAGTGCCACTTCCGGTCTTCTGGTGGTTTATTGGAGATAGGAGTCTCACAGTCTTTCCTGCCCGGGCTGGCTTTGAACCGTGATCCTCAGATCTCAGCCTCCTGAGTAGTTAGGATTACAGGCGTGAGCCACCAGCGCCCGGCTGGCATCTTTCAAATTCTTATGATAAATGTCCTCCCTGAATTCCAGTTCCTTTCTGTGCTGTATTTCCTATGCTCTAATGAGATGGATGTAGGCAATGCAGGGGAAAGCCACCTGCTTCACCTTGCATTAGCTGAAGGCAACCATCTAACCATGGATTCCCGTTCTCCTCTGATTACCCTATAGGTTGCTATGACCAGAGAAAAATTTCCAGAGAAGATTCCATTTAGACTAACAAGGATGCTGACCAATGCCATGGAGGTGAGGAGATGCTGCTAACAAGCTGGTAGGAGACGGGGCCGATGCACTTATACAACGTCCTCTGACCAGACCTCCTTGCTAGTGCTCCCTGGGTCCTGAGTGTCTCTGTGGTGGCTTGGTAGGCCCCTCTTACTTCCCATTGTGTTAGGATGGCCTTTGAAAGCCTTAGCCCTGGTCCTGTGTGTCTTCCCTGAAAGATGCAGCCAGTGCATGAGCTGCTTCCTCAATGAAGGCGGTAGGATCTCTGGCTTTTGATCATGAAGCACCAGTGAGTCACGCTTAGTAATGCCTAGGCTATGTGGCTTCCCAGGTTACGGGTCTGGATGGCAACTACAGAATCACATGCCACACGGTGATGGAAGTGCTTCGGGAACACAAAGACAGCGTCATGGCTGTGCTGGAAGCCTTTGTCTATGACCCCTTGCTGAACTGGAGACTGATGGACAGTGAGTATTATCCACGGCTGGGACTGGGGTTGGGACCCTCCTAAAATAGAATGTCTGACACATAACACTTCAATACCTTGTTCCCCTGGAGCTTAGGTATATTGGTGAACTTCTCTTTCTCCTTTATAGTATTTAAGTATTTTTACTATCTAGAACAGAAAACTGTCATTAATTTATATAGTCATTACATATTTTTTGGTTTTGTTTTTTTGTGTGTATGACATTTTTTGATTTTGTTTTTTTGTGTGTGTGTTGTTTTGGTTTTGTTTTTTTGGTCATTTGTAGGACTTGAACTCAGGCCTAGGCACTGTCCCTGAACTTTTTCCATGCAAGGCTAATGCTCTACACTTTGAGCCATTGTACCACTT